GACAATTTTATTGAAGGAATATTTTCCTAAAGATCACTAAAAAAGCAATTGTGACGATGTTTCTGGCTTAATAAAAAGTAGGAGGGCAGAGAGATTCTGTTCTCAGAAAAATTTCCATTCAAATCCCATCCTGAAGTTCAAATTAAGTCCATGGGTGTTTCCAGTGTCTTAGGTACTTAAATTCTGAAATTGTAGATCCATTAAAGACAATTTTGGAATTACCCTCTCTGTAACCAAAATCTTCTAATCTTTCAAAGCTCAACCATCTTTGGCCTCAGCTTGATGCTTTTTTTCAAAGCTTTTTCTGTCTTCTTCGCAAGATGAAAAGCTGTAAAAAGAAAAATGTATAAGGAGAGAGTACAGTAGATAAAGCACAGTTACACAGCAGTTGAGTTGGAAAGATATGCTTAGTCTTTTAATCTGTCTGCTTTCAGCGTTGTGAAAGACTGTCCTCCACAATAATCTCTTAAGTGCTTTATCGAATGCTGACACTTGGTGTTCATCAGTACAAACAGTGCTAATACCTTGGCTAAACCGCTAGTTGGCAACTTGTGTTATGGACGCGAGTTCTCTACTGTATGTAGAGCAGTGGAAGGGTGGGTGTGGGTGTACCTGCCTCAGAAATCCTTATTCACACAAGAAACGTTGAACCAGTTCAAAAAGTTTCTCTTCCCAAATTAAAAAAGTTTAGAACTAAGCCCAAATGGCATGTAGGAGTTCCGATGATTATCAGTCCCGCATACACCTGACATGTCTTGAAGCAGCGCATAAGTGCAATTAGATAATTGTATACAGCCTTCTGGCTATGAAGAATGGATTTTAAGCATATGATTTCTGATCAGAATATTCTTAGGAGGACTTCATATATGGCAAAGAGGAATTTTGTAAATGAGAACTTTTTTCCTTCTCTACTTGGACACATTTGGTTGTTCTATTTTAAATATAGCCCATTGTGAAAGGAATATTAAACAGTTGGAGTGGTTATAAGAAGTCAGACTTTTTTTCAGAACAAAACCACGCTGGAATTACAATATATAGTATGTGCTTATAAACTGCTAGCAACTTTTCTGTTACTGAATACTTCATGGTAAATTCCTCTTTGTGATAACATTAGGCCAAATTCTCTGCTTGTATCAGGAAATGAAGTTTTCCTGAGAACTTTGTCCCGTCACAGACTGTAAAAAAGCTTACTGAAGTGTCTACATTTATATATATGCTTTAAGCCAAGGATTTTATTAGACCGGTAAGGGTTTTGAAAATAGTAAAAATAAATTATGTTCCAAACGGTCTAGCCCATTCCTTCTTTTTGAGGATATTATCTCAGCAGCACTTACTGCTGTTTGAAAATAAAATATGATTTTCATAAGTCATCAGAAATTCTGTTCTGAATAGTAAAATGGAGGACATCTCATTGAATAAGAAAATATATCTTTCTGTGTAGTCAGTTTTCAGTGTAGCTACTTTTACTGCGTGATTCTGTAGTAGAGGGAAATGGAGGTAAATTAGACTTTCAGAAATTAGGTCCAGATCCAGACATTCCGCTGTTTAGCTAAACTCAGATTTGAGGTTTATACAACTAGCAGTGGCTTGTACTTTGCTTGAGACTTACACTGGAACCAATTGGGAGAGCTGGCATTTTTGTTCCATCTTTAGCTGGATGTATCTTACAGCTGTGTATCTTGAAAATACCTATGTGGCTTTAAAATTGTCCTAACTCAACTAATTGTAATAATGATGAAATTAAACTATATGAAACAGAACAAGGAGGTCAGATAGCTCAGACAACATTGTATTGTTGGAGCACTTCATCCTTTTTATATAACACTGCATGCTTTCTTTCCTTTATAGCTGACGCTTAGGTGTCTGTTCTGCTTAACTCCATAACACATCTTCTGAGGCATGGTGTTCCGAAGAACTCCTGCTGCTGTAGGTATTTGAGATCAAAGCCAGTATGTATCAAACATGCTAATGCAAACACCTTAAGACCAGTTTAGCACATAAGTACCTTTCAGCAAGAGGAACGTGTTACTCAGCTAGCAACAATAGTTTTCATGTAGAATGCAATGCAAGACAGTTGATATCTCTACAGCACAAAGTAATTCACTTTAAGAAGTGGATGAGGGTAAGGGACATAGGAAGTTTTGCATTATGCTATTGCAGTGAGTACCAAACAGTCCGTTGAGGTAGTTTGCATCTGTAATTCTCCTTAGAATATTAGCTATAGGAAATGTTCCTGTTGCTCAATTACATTTAACATGGCAAATTAGTTCAGGCAAAATAGAACTGCCCCATTCAATTCTAAAGTTAACTTCTCATAGAGTATCAAGGTGCTGCTAGTAAATCCAGACTACTCAATGTAAGGCATAGTTAAGAGCTGTAACGCTATGAATAAATACATTGCTCAAATGTCTACCATAATGAAGCTATAGCTCGGTAGTGTTTGCTTAACTTTGTTATTAACTGCAATCTACACAGTGTAATAAACACTACAAAATCCTAAATATTTCTGAATGAAGATTGAGAAAATATTACATGTGAAGTACATCCTGGATAATCTGTGTGGATAAGATGTTATCTGGAAGTGGAAAATGTAGCTTCTTTCCATTTTCTAATCTCCTCCCTAATGTCTCTGTTCTCTGTCCCCTGCACCTCAGTGTGGTGAGCTGGGCTGTGTGGTTCAGGGCAGGAGGAAAGCAAGGACAGTTTATAAGAGCAGAGAATAGCACGTGGTGTCCCTATTGTGTTGCTATATACTTACTTTATGTCTGTCAAACACAGAGAAAGAAAAGTACTCCTAATGGCTCTTCCTGGATGATCATATAGCAATTACTGGAATTTAGTCTAGAAAAAGTGCTTCTCATGATGTATAAGGAAGTGTGATCATCCCATCAAAACATGAGAGACTATTATTAATCTGTATCAGAAAGACTAATGAAATGGAGTATGATATCCTGCCAGCTGTGGTTTAGAATTCTCCCTTCTTTTATTTGAATTACGAAGCAGGAAAACCCATAATCAGTGCAGGGCATGGAAATGATAGAGAAGGAAGTAATTTAAAAGTGTTTTTTCATTTCTCAAGTCTGAAGGACCTGAGGGACCAGTTCAATTCTTGGTTTAAACAAGAGCAGTTACCTGACATGCTATAGCTCTCCAGAAAATGCAAGTCAAAAAAGTCTGGGCTGGAAATGGAAGGCATATGGCTTTTCTTTTGTTTTGATCTTTAACATGTAGGAATGTACTAATGGAGGGAGATTTCTTCCATGCTTTGTAGTAGACAAGTTTGATGGGCACATCAGATGTCTGATCCTGCACCTATGAGTCTGTATGTTCAGAAGCAATAGTTTATATACATTTTGGTCACGGCGTTTCATGGTTCTTACCATCTTTTATGGCATTAAAACTGTTGAGAGATTTTAGAGATTCTGGACCTTAACTGTGTGCTGTGCAATCAAATAAAAATGGCATTCAGGGATGGCAGTCATTACAAAATGTTGATATAGAAATTGTTTCCTACACAAAAAGTTGCAGCACCACTCCTGAGCATATCTATGTTATGCATTTTAAAGTGCACTGACCAAATATTCCAAAGGGAAAGGGCGTATACTATTGCAGTCCTGAGGCAATACCAGAGTTGATTCTTGAGGAGAATTACAGACTCTGGCAACTCTGTAAGAGTCAGAAATCAAAATCCCTTTATTGCCGATACAAGTGCATTTATAAAACTTCCTAGCAACTGATCACACATAAACAGAAAGCTTGATTGGTTACATGCATTCTTCACACACTGTTCACACGCCTAAGACTAACATTTGATTGGTTATTACCCCCTGTCCATAACACACCAGACAATTCATTGGCTACAAGTTAGTTACTGCTATCCTAAAGCCTATAGGTGAATTAAATCTTACAAGCACAAACACAATGTTTTATACACTTTTAGCTCAAGGTAGAAAACTTTCCACTGTTTAAGAAATGACCAGATGTTTCCCATCAACTGTAGCCTGGCATGTTTTCTTCAAGCAGATCTCAGCATCCTTATCTTGTTTTTCTACATTCCCCTTGCTACTTCCAAGGCTTCTGTCCGACGAAGGTCAAGATGTTCTCATCATTCACCAGCTGTACAGAGCTCTCTGTTCTTCCTCCTCTTTTCGCATCCCTTCTGTGATGCAGCCAAAGTCTTGCTCTTGTCTGACGTGGCCATTGTCCTCCAAAAATGATCCCACAGATTCTATTTGGTATTTGTTCATCTCTTCTGGATTAAGTATATCATTACTCTGCATTATGCAAAGCCTTGATATCCCATATAGTCTCTATCAAAATATACCTCAGTGTATAATTCTATGCACACAATAAAGTCAAGATATAATACTGCAGGTCAACTGAACCTATGAAAATGTGCACCAAATAAAAACTTTAGGATTCCTGAACACAATTTTGTGAGACAGTTTGTTAGGTTTCATGTTTTGTTACTCTCGAAGTTTAAGAATGGTGTATTTCTACCCCAGCCCCATAGCTTTTCTTCTAGTAGGTTGATACCTGCTGAGGTGCATATAAATGCCTGGTTGATGCAAGTTGGTGGAGCTCACCAGGTTTGGTGTGGGCCACTTCTGTGAAGGAGCACTTTACAAATGGGGCCACTGAGGTCAACAGCTGTACAGGGTTCATCTATGTGAAGTAGTTATAGAGCAAGGGTCTTACCACTTCAGAAATTATCAGTCCTTCTCTTGAAGTTAAATATCCACAGTTAATTAAAGGGCAATATAATTTTTGTGGCAAGATAGCAGGGCAGGTGGGGGGGTGGGGAGGAGGGGGGAGAAGGGTGGGGGAAAACTGGAGGTGATCTTGCAAATGTACTTAATGGTATTTACACATACGAAATAGTTGATAAAGCACATCAAAAGCCATTCATGTTGTAATATCCTTCCACAGGTCATCACAGTAACTGTGTCTATATGAAGATGTACACCCATGAGTTTTTCGAGCTCGATTAGGAATACCTTCACAGAAAGATCTCAGAGTTACTGTTGGTAAAGGAAGCAAGTACTTTTGTGTCTCATCAAAAAAATAAATAAATCATAGGTAAGTGTTCCCCTTTCCTAATAAATTGAGCATCACGCTAATGCTCAGAACTATCAAAATTTATTTCACTTTATTATTGCAACAGAATACCAAATTAAGATTTTGGATAAATTCTTTATTTTTCCTGTGTAATCCATGACATTTATTATAGTTCAAATGACTAAAATGCATGGGAGAAGACATTTACTTTATGAGCTTTTTCAAAAGAGAATGTGCTTCACTGAAATGTTGAAACAGAATATAGGAGCTGAGTAGACACGCTTGCCGTGTCGCCTAAGCATGAACTTGAAGAATTCAAGCAATTTGGGGGGATGTAATGTTACTGGCATTATACATGGCAATGTGGTAACTCATAAATTAAAACTATACACTCCACTTGTTCTCAAGCTTGGTATCACACCTTTATCTAGAGTATAATTAGTAAAAACTACAAGAGCAGCCCTGCCCTTCTCCCCCCCTCCCCCCCCCCCCCAAAAAACAAACAACCAACCATCCCTGCATCTATATAAACTTAAAGATGTTTATTTTGAGCAAAATGTTTTCCCCTGATAAATAACTAGTGTAAACAGCTGTCTTTCATTTTAGTATTTTTTTAATTCCACTCCTATCGGAGCTTCTGATATAAATTATTTAGATCAAGAAGTAAACTTGTGTTTCTAATGGATTACTTGTGGAACAGAGCATGCAGTAAAATGAATAATGGAGGGAAATTTTTAAAAATTGCAAACTGACCTTTGAAATGTCAGAATTTGGATGTTTCCTGTAATCAACATTCTGTGATAAATGAGAGCAGTAAATGTAAAGATCCTTGGTTCAAAGTGTGTGTAATCGAAATCCAATGAGAGATCGATGGTCTTTTGGTGACCTTTTCTGAAAAGGTCAAATGACAACATTTATGGGAAACTTTTCTTGTGCCTGGAGGATGATTATAAATGGGTTTCTTGCATTTTGGTGTTCTAGCTGAGGAGGAAAACTACGCCAATATGCATGAGCTCTTTATATGTATATATACATATGTATGTATTTTTCAGTCATTCACTCTTGTAGGTGTATAAATTTTACACACAGAACTATGCATACACATACCTTCATGTATATATAACCTGAAGTTTTAAGTTACTATTGTTACTAATGTTCATAAATCAGTGAAATATTTCTTCAAATGTAAATGTTATAAGGTTACAATAAACAATAACAATAAAGTGTTATCTAGTTTTTTTTAAGTACTTAAGAAGACAATAGGAGGATCTAACGTGAATTCAGTGGAAAACTGTTTTCATTCTGCCAACAGTGACAACGCATTGGAAATGAAATCTGTCAACAGAAGCTCATATCACATCATCAGAATCCACACCACACTTTGTGGGAAGCAAGAGTCTGACTTTCAGAGGTATGTTTTAGGAGTAAGTCCACTAGAGGCATTTTGGTCTGAGTAACTGTTAGAGAATGCTTTTGTGCTTACCTTATGCAAATTAGCACCAAAAAGTCCAAAGTGATTAAAATTTATAAATGAATGAGGCACATAGTCATCAGCAGGACATCAGCTTTGTTATGTCTATCCTGCAGTTCTGTAGTTGAATTGATGAAAATATGCTATTCGATCGATCATTTTTCTGAATGATTGGTATGCAGTTATTTTGTTGGGTGGCAAAAATGCACACATGTATTCAGCTTTCAGGAAGGACCTGCACTACCTGATTTTTTATGTCCTAAAAATATATTCTTGAAGAAGAGCTGTTTTCCATGTTTCTATGGAAAAGAATTGATTATGAGCTCTTACACATCATCACAAAAGCTTTTTATGCTTGTAGCTTAAACATAATTGCTTTAATAAAATTAAATTATTATATCAGTCTTATCATGAATTACTGGGGAGTGATGTAGACAGCGTTAGCTTTGACTGGACTGTGTTTTATCATGTGTGAGAGTTAAAATCAGGTACACTGGTTGCAGGAAATTAACATTTATGGAAATATATAAAGAAATGATCAAACTAATTTGTTGAATATTTAACTGTCCAAGGTGTATGCTGTAATTTGTAATTGCATGCTGTTACACTTTTATAAGTCCAAAATGCCTTCTCCAAATTCCCAACTGCCAGTGAAAGCATTGGACTTGTCTTATGTGAGATGTTATTTTAAAAAGAAAGAATGGGGGATTCTGCAGTGTATGGATACTTCATTAGTACAACTTGTTCTTTTATGTAGTGTCAGCTACAATAAGGTGATTTGTAATGTATGTTATAGTTCTGTAACGTTTATGTTGCCTCCAAAATGCTGCATGCTCAATGAAAATTATTGGCAGTTCTGCTCTTATTAGACATGAGAGCATCCACACAGAAACACTTCCTTAAATTTTTTTCTCACTGAGGAAGCTCAATGAGAATTTGCAATTTTGGACAACTGATAGGTGAATCACAGGGCGTAAATCCATAGGGACACGCTTTCAGTTGTTTCACTGTTGACAGAACTGTTTTCTTCCTTCATGGAAATCCAAATGGAGATCTGAGAGCCCAGCTCAGTTGTTCTCTCCTTTTGCATCATTCATCATTAATGGACTAACGTGGATAATAATATAATTACTCTGATCACGGTAAACGGGTGTGGTGGCTCTGGCAACAAGTAACCTGCTCACACGCTCCTTGCTCTACTGATTCTGTGCTTGTCATAGGAGTGAAAGTGGGGTGAAGAGGGAAAAAGAAGAGTTTTAACAGTGTAAAATATCAGCTGTAACTGGACATAGAAATAAATCTGTAGAAAGGTAAGCAGTTTTTTACCATGGCCCCCTTAAGGGTTGAACTGCAGTTTAAATTGAATGAACAAGACTGCTTCCATATGAGAAAATAGCAATACGTCTTAGGTGACGTATTTCATTGGTATGCAGGTATATAATGCCAGATCCTAGTGATAAAAACCCACAGGTGTTCTGATCTTTAAGTAGCCTGTTCTATTAATATTTCTTTACAGTATGCAACATTAACTGCTTTTGGAACTATCCTAAACTTAAATGTGTCAGTTACTATTTCATACCGTTATTCTGCAATGCAAAGCTTGATCTATTAGTTGTGATGTGTTGTGTTTTTATTTGCATTACTAGATGATTTGATATTGCAGATGAATGGGTGTTGGAGTCTAATTTTTCCGACATGGCTGACTGATGCATTTTAGATTAAATACAGTCACTAGAAACTGGCCAAGAATATCCTATGTCATGATTATTATAACTTCTGATTAAAAGATGGGTTATGTTAAGACAGCTTTGTCACAATCTTCCTTTGAAAGACAAACTAAATATGTTTCAATTCAGGCCGTATACACAGTGTGTCAAGCTGCTGTCTTTCAAAGTAGTGGGAGCAATTGCTTCCTTTCTTAATAATTTTGATCTTCACTATGAAATGAGCTTTCAGTGACTCCTCTAGCAATAGCATGGATGAGAATAGTAAATTAGAAGTGTGAAAGAGAATAGGTTAAGTATGAAATAATTTATTCACTTATTTTTATACTTTGGGTAAATTTTCAGCACTGTGTACATATGTCTTTATTATACTAAGGAGATTTGCATTTTAATTCACTGCACATAGCCAACCTTTATAAACCTTTGCCAAAAATAACAAATGTCATAACCTTGCATGCTCTGATCCATTGTTTAACCAAAAAGGTATGAATGTGTATTAAGACCTTAAATCTATCACAATGTTATATACTTTGGTATTAACACAGGAGTTAATATTAGCAAATATACGTAAGATGGCATGTTGTTTGGGCATTAAATCCTTGGACTTGCTTATCTGGTAAGGAGTAAATATTCAGAAGAATAATGACTTTCTTCATGTGAGCTAATGTTTTGCCCACAAATTTGCACCTGTCTTTAAAAATCTTAGTTTGTTTCTAATTATTGAAAAGTGAATCAGGCACTTGGAGATGAAGTTGCTGAATTTTGCTTTCATAATTTAGTTTGCAAATATATATTTCATTTGCAGATAATGAAATCAGGCCTTGATTTAGATTTAAAAATACTTGTAATGGTAAAATATTTGTCCTTTCAAAAAGAAACAAATTGTTCAGCTGTCAATGGAACAGAGTAGGTCAAAGCCTTTTTTTGGTAAAATCAGTATGATATTTACCTGAGGAGATGCTCCATCGGGGATATATTTTGAAATGAAGTGGAAACAAAGAATTCTAAGACTATTTATGAAGTGCTAATACTATGAAACAGATTTGAAAGTCTTCAGGAAGTTGCCTCCATTGATACATGAGAAAACTTGCCCTAATTTATATACTTTTTAATGTTTATCTCTTGTTCTCTTGTCCTCTCCTTCAACCTCAGTGAACTTATAAAGTTAAACTTTTCGTGATGCTCCACACAAAAACTTCTGTTTGTATTAGAATAAGCATCAGCTACTTCACTAGCTGTATGAGACTGTCCTGGATTTTATGAACAAATCAATTCTGGTTCAATAAGATTACTACTGGGCTATCAGAAGCTGCCAATAGTGTAGCAATGATATGCAAAATCCTTCTCAAGTAGTTTTTTTTTAAGGAAGTGTACATGTCTTGAGTTAAGATTTCTCTCATAGATTTATAGGCTCCAGACTGAGTGTTGGAAAGTTCATCTAAAGAAATGAACCCTCACCCAGTTGACTGTTAAGTCAAGTGTATCTGAAGTACCATCAAATGTCACTATTTTGTCTTCCTGGAGTGTATGTGTCCTTTCACTCTGTTTGGCCAGAGGTAATTATGATGGTAGTGTAAGAGTTAAATTTTTGGGAAGATGGTGAACCAGAATAATCCTAACATTTCTGCAGCTTTACCTGATGATAAAGAAGTTCCAGTACAAAAAAATGCTGTGCTAATTCATAAAGGAAACTTCCTATTATCATTATATTTTCAATCGCTGAAAAGATGTATGGCATATAGATATGCCAGTTTCAAAAGAAAAAGGTAGCTTCATTTTTTTTTCCTTTTCAGTGGTTCTTTAGATACTTTCATAAAAAGAGTTTGTCATTTTCCTTTCCTGAACAGAATTCAAAATGCTGATGCTACTAATGTTCAGCTTTGTGGAAATAAACAATTCATGTTCATACAACACAGTCTTTGATGTAGAAAATGTAGACATCTATAGATATGTGGTGACTTGCTGTTTGAAAAGATATTTAAAAAAAAATATATTCAGGAGATGCATTAAATCCTCTCAGGACAATTTCATAAGTTTGACCCACAGAAAATTTTCACAAAAGAAAATAAATACTTCCTGGTTATTTTATGCTTTTACCTCTATTAGCACTAGACTCATCTCAGTTTAGATGGAAAATATCAGCCTGATGTAATATAAATTTTTCATTAGCGCAGAACAGTTGAAGAAACCCTCAAACAACTTCTTACAGGCAGGTTAGCACACAGAGGAAGCCTGGCTGATGCAAAGGGAAAATGTCCAAACACACCTATGCCACAAAAGATTTTGCGACTTCATAGCCATCTGTTTTCAAGCTCAAGTTAATATATACATATGTCTTTGCACGGGTTTTTGCATGACTGTCAGTCCGAGAGGGTGAAAGAAGGCTTGGCTTTTATTCAGGTGAAAGGCAAAATGAACTCTGAAAACTGTTAAAACCGCAAGGTTTGTGCTTGGCTAAGAGAAGACAGTGATTCAGCACTAATGAAGCCAGTAGAGAAGAGCACCCCCTTCTACAACCAGAATTTAGCACAGGAGATATACTTTAGCATGCAAGGAACTGCAGCTGTTTTTCTAAACTTTAATCTCCATCCCTGAGCTACTGTTGGCCAAGAAGGCAATAAACTTGACCTTCCCTAGCTTTTTCTTCTCATTGTTGAGGGTGAAAAATGACAAAGCAAATAAAAGAAGTGGTTAGAAATCATACTGTCAAGTCTGATGTAACTATTTCATTTGGCGTTTTTACTGGAATCTGATTCAGAAAATACGACTACAGAGAACTAGGAAGCATGAACAAAGTTAGGAGATACCCTATAGTTTTAGGAATGAAAAAGTAGGTTTCTTAAATTTTTTATCTTTTCTTGGATGGGGCATAAGCAATGCTTATGTAGTCACATATTGCTGAGACAGGCTGCTGATGGGCTACCAGTGGAAATCTCAAGGATTAAGGCTTGAAGGACTGTGGACTGCTGCAATATGATCAGTAACTATTGGATGGCGATAAAACGCTGCAGATTACTGTGTGTGAGATTTATAATGGTTGTCTTCAAGTACTCAGAGTTCAGACCTGGCAGCTGAGTGCGTGAAGCAGATGTTTGTCTGCTCCTGTGATTTGAGACCAGTAGGGTGATAAACAGTCTGACATAAAATGAGCAGCAGTGAATTTGAACAGGTTTCATGGCAGATATATATATATATATATTTATATATATATACACAGTAACATATTATATGTGGGATGAGCAATTTTCTGAAGATTCAGAGCTCAAGTTCTGACACTGAAATATCAATCACATGGGATTTGTATTGAGAGGTGTTTGCTTTCTGCCTACAGATTAAAATCTCCTGGGAATGACTTGAGAGATTTGCATGTAAACCTGCCTAACAGCCTAAATGTGAGTCATGGGCTTTTCTTTTCTGCTTCATCATGAAAATTATATTTAAAATATATTTGCATATAGTTTGGAAAAGTATATTTGTATGTACTTTATATATGCTTATGTACAAAAAAGTATGTTTAAATCTCAGCTTGGGTACATAGGTAACTACAGTGGTCTTTGTTGTACAAAACATAATGAGATTTTTTTTGAATGAAATCTGTTCCTCTAAATATTCCATCTCTAACATCTACCATTTCAAAGCCCCAGTTATTCTTCTGAGACTCTAATATATTCAGACAATAGAAGGCGTCATGGTCAGTGGACGCTGAATCTGTATGCAAAGGAAAATAGTCTGTCCATGTGAAAATCTGATATCAATAGCTGAAAATTTGGTAGGGTGAAATTGAATGTTTTTCCTTTTGCTCAGGGCTATTTCTGCTTAGAACTTATAAAGTATTATTTTTCCATTCTACATATTGCAATTTTTATACTTTCTATTTGAATCATTGAATTTTTTCTTTTTTTTTTTTTTTTTTTTTTTTCCTAATGCAAATGAAATAATGCATTCTTGAAATACATCTGACTGAAATAGTAAATTTTACTAGGGATTTCCTAGGGTACACGAAATTCTTCTAAAGGTTCAACCTAGAGCCTGAAACACAATTGCACCCTGCCTACCCATTGAGCAATTCTAAATAATGAAATTGCGATGTTAGGAACTTGCATTCATGCCCATCAAAACACTGTGTAGGGGAACAAGAATCCACCTGCACAGATCTGATCATTGCATCAGTGTTTGGCCTTGTAAACATCATCTGGTGGCATAGCTTTCCTTAACAAGAATAAAAATGAATTAAAATTATTATTACTTAAATCAGTGATGTAATGACCAAATAAAAAAAGAGTTACTATTTAGGTGAAACATCATAGAATCAAAGAATGCTTTGGGTTGGAAGGGACATTAAAGATCATCTAGTTCCAACCCTCAATAGATGTATGGTTCAGACTTAAAAAAGTTTTAAGTGTTTTGATTACTATCTGAAATTATAAATAAATTTTGTTTCAAAAAAAGATAATCTTTTGTTAGGCAAGCTAGCGATCAAGGACAGAACTACAAAATATCAGTCACTAGAATAAGGGGTTTATTGCTGAGCTTAGCTCACAAGGAATTTTTTTTTTTATTTCTAAAGGTTTCCTTCACACAGAAGGAGATAATGAGAGCAAAGGATGCCAGATACGGGAATAAATAGGGTAAAAAGAGTGTTTTAGATTCTGAAGACATAACTTCATATGCTAACCTTAACCAGCTGATGAAAATGGGATTAACAGTGTCATCTGTATCATCATTTATTTGTGGTTTATAAAGTTTGTGAAAATTTAAATTAATAGCACCATTTAAAAATTTAATTTCTTAACTATTTAAAAAGTTTTTTAGAATTAATTACAACAGCAATAAAAAAATCTTAAAGTTTGCAGAACTGGGACTAGGTTGTTTGGTGTTTTGGTTTTTTACGTCTTATCTTTTGCCTGGCTAACATTACTAGAACATACTAAAATAAGGAATAAACACATAAAATACAAATATATTTTGTGTTTTTATATATAAAGCTTTGGGAGAGGTTTGTGTACCCTTTTCCTTTGAGAAACTGCAGAAAAATTGCAAGAAACATCACAAATGGTTGGTGGATGCTGAATCTGAACAAAAAATAAAGGTCAGATGTTTAGTCTGTCTCTATCCCTGTAATGTCTGATATCAATATGCTGAAAATTTTGTGAGGATTAAATTGGATTATTTTTTCTTTTGTTCGGGGCTATTTCTGCTTAGAACTGATGAAGAAATATTTTTCCATTCCACGTTATTACAGTTTTTCAATTTTCTCTTGGAATCATTGATTTTGTATCTTAGATTTTTATTTTATATTTTATCTGTGTACACATTAGAGTATTTGAAGCACAAGTCATTCTCTTAATGTATTCAGCTGTGGAAAACAGAAGCTATTACATTACTAGGTTTGCTGTAAAGAACACTGACATCCATATTGGAGCAAAGATAATAAAAATAAGTTATTCTAAACTGTAAAAGATACAGTAGATTTCATTGACATAAAACCCTAGTAATTGACATTGTTATATAATGGCAATTAAAAAGCACTATAAAGAATAAGGTCTGATTCAAAGACTACCAACATGCCTAAGTGTACAAGGAAAACAAGCGTCATGAAGGAAAGATACAGCATAAATGAGACGAGACTATTCCATTATTTGATGTACAAACCTGGAGAACGCACAGCATAAGCAGAGCTCTCTGAAAGCTACAGCAACTTGAAACTATGCCACAGAGAAATCCAGATGAGCAAGAAAATCTATGCACAGATATGAGATACTAGTTTGAAAAGTGTGTTTACATTCTGCTCTTCCACCTAGTTCAACACGATGGATTATGAAAGTCAGAAGCATAGAAGACTATGTGGCTTATTTGATATGAAGATTTCTGTACCTTTTATTGATCTTTCTCCTAACATGTATTTTTCTAACTGACCCGATTCCCCTGCATTCTCTCACATACAATTAATTAATATTTAACTTTCTTTGAGCTCTCCTACTTCTCTGCCATCTTCAGAAGTCTTTGAACTCTGAACCCTTCTAGGCATTCCCAAAGGACTTAGGCACTCCTTCACATATCTTTATGTGAAGATACTTTATCTCCCTTATGTTGTTCCAATCTGGTCTATTACTCACACAGAAGCTTTATCTGCTCTTGTGCCCAATAGGTGGCAGATGAATGTAATTTTTCTGCAGCCCGCACTTCCACTCACCCCTGTTATCTCTATAAGACCCTAAGGATTTTTTACTTAATTCTGTTTTCATGTATCGTAATCATTATCTTGACTTCATCCCATTAATTACTACCATACATCTTTATTGAATATTGTGGTCTGAAAATGAAACGTAGAAAACATTGTGGGCTTGATCACAAACATATTCAATTAAATGTAATCTTTCCATTTGATCTTCAGTGGGTTTCCAATTAGGCGATTGTTTCCCTTTGAAATAACTTTTCAACTAAAAAACAGTAGCTAGGCCTCCAGAAGAAGTTCAAATGTTATTTTCTGGATCAGTCCTGAAGTTCTTTGTTCCAGCAAATCCCTGGAGGCTGGATAACTAAAGGAGCTTTGGATTAGCTGTCTGAAACTAATGACATTAAATCAATTGCTACAAGAATATATTTAGGCTGAGCATTAATAATATGGGAGGCTGGATGGCATAATGATGGAGCACTGGCCTGGGATTTGGGAGGTCTGGACTGCGTTCTTGGCTCAGCCAATAACTTGCTGGGCGACCTCAGGAAAGTCACGTCACTTACTTTTGCCTTATTAAAAAGTTCTATGTGGGAAGTGCTTTGAACTCTTCTGATGTCAAGTGTTATATCACCACCATATATATATTGTAGCCACGTAGGTGAAATCTATTAAATGTCAAGCAGAATGAAAGTGGTGAGTGCCTGTGGTTAAAGAACCCTTTATGGAAAGTGCTTGAGACTCCTGTCAAATCTATATTTCTGTAACTATCTCATACAAGAAGTGGATGGAATATGAAGATGCCCAAAGGTTTTTTGTCTTACAAATAGCCCTTTATGCTGCTAAGAGTGGTTTAATAATGATATATTGTACAATGTAAGGTAAAAGTAGAAGGACGTATCAAGTGGAATTCTGCGGGAGTTTATCCTAGTTATTGCAGTAGTCAGCCTTTTCATTAGGGCACAAAATAAGACACACCAGGAAGGAATACTGAGAATTTCAATGATGATGGAGAGCACTGGTCTACTGTTTTAGATAGCAATTTTATTGATGGGTACCACTGAGAAAGCTAATGTACTTCATACCATATTTTTTTTAATGGATCAGAATCCAGCTGTCAGCAGGACTATCAGATGCACGTTAGCGATGGCAAAAAGGCAGGATTTGGGGTTATAGCAGGAGAGGAAATCATCAGAGACAACTAAGCAAGGTTCAATTTTTTGAAATTGGACTTGGTCTTTCTTCACTGGGAAGCTAAGAATGAGGTGCATCAAATGGAGCCATTAAAGGTTATCTTTGAGGAAGTGTGGAGGATTTATTAAGTCCTAGACCCTGGAAGAGGGCAAATGCAATCCTTATCTTTATAAAGGGAAAAAAGGAGGACCAGAGGAATTAAAGACTGGACAGCCTTCCCAGAAGAAAATATACTGAAGAAACAATCAAATCATTTATAAGGAAAAAGTCCAAACCCAGAACAAAACAAAAATAACCCAAGAAAGTGTAAAACAACAAACATATGTCAAAAGCAAATTATTTGAGTTTCAAACCAACTTTTTTCTATGAAAGAATAGAACAGCTCAAGTAGAAGTAGCCAGGATTGTGTACTTTGGTCTTTGTAAGCATAACATGGCAGCTTCAAAGTAAACTAGGAAAAGTGTGTTTGTAATTAAACTACCCTGAGGTTGATACAAGACTGTCTGGAAAGCCATGATCACAGGGAAGTTACTAATGGTTCACTGCTAAACTATGAAGCAGGATCCTGTGTACTCTGGTTGCAGCACTACTCAACATTTTCATCAATAATTTGGATGATGAAACAAAGGATGTGCTTAGTAAATACGCAAACAATGTTGCAAAAATAAGAAAAAAATGCAAATAACCTGATAATTTAGAGAAATGGTCTGAAAAGGGTTGAACAAGGACAAATATGAGGTGCTGAACTTGTACAATGATAACCAACTGTGCCAGTTTGGAATAAGCTGGGCGGCAAATCTGCAGTGGAAGATCTGGGATCATACTGAGCATCACTAGTGGAAATACTTAAACGCCGTCAAGCTGTTGTGAAAAATATAAGCACCCACTGGATGCACAAGAAAAAACATACCTTGCAAGATAAGTGAAGGCACCCTGGTGAAATCCTGTGTCCATTTTCAACACTCTGCTTCATGGAGGATGAGGCTGGAGAATGGCAAGTGTAAGGCAATGAGAAAGACTGTACT